AATAATATATTTAATATTAATGTAATACATTGATATTTAGGCAAGCCTGAGGACTTGAAAGAGATGAAAACTGTTTTGAAGTTTGCCAATGGTTAATTACGGAAAGGCTGGACATATTAACAATAGCGTATCAGATGCAAAATGCTATGAATACATCGTTAGATTCGCCTCTTGTAAATAATATGCTTACCGTTCTAATGTCGAAGCCTGCTACAGTTATTCTAGATAATGAAAAAGCACTTGCTCAGCTTTAACACAAGGAGGTAAAGTGTCTTTTTCTCAATGTAGGATACCACCAGATGAAGCCATCGAAAAGCTTGTAACTAAAATCTTAATCATGACCTCTATAGAAACAATGCTGAAGAAGTCATATGTTATTCCAAACGGGTTCTAACAGACTTTTCGTGGCAAATTAAATAAAAAGATTAATTAAAAATTCGCAAATTCAAAGAAAGACGAGCAAGGGAAAGACGTGCAACTGTGCTAACTAACTTGAAAATCGAAGAATTTATGTCCCAAGAGGTTGTTGAGCAAATTTTATATAGATATTTAACGGGAATTAACAAGTTTAAGCTCAAAAAATGCGGGACTATGGAACGGCTCATTGGGAGGCGTTTAAAGTACATTTTACTATTTAGAATATCAAAGCTATTAAGGAACTTGATCATATTACGATAGATTGTAAATTCCAAGTAGGTCCGGTTAAAACATTGCGTTGAAGCTTTCGTTAGCGGAATAACGCAGAATGTTGAAAACTTTGAAATAATTACAAAGAACATTTTAATATTTCTTTATATTTAGTTGATTTGCACAAACTATTATTTTAACATTTATATATTATTTACACCATTGCAAAAGATTATATTTTCAAAAATTCTATTTTATATGGTAGTTTTTGTTATACATTATTTACGATTACATTTATTACAAATTTATCGCATGTTATTTTGTTATTTGTTAAAGTAAAACACGAGACACGAGACAACGAGACACAAAAGGCACGTATTTGATGTACCAAAATTGTTATTTGTTATTTTATAATCGCTTGTGGTGCATGTGGTGCTGTTAAATTATCATTCTTTCACAGTCATAAAAAAAAAAGTATTTTAAATCGAAATTGGTAAAATGATATCTTAAATATCTGACTAATACAAGATCCATCAGCAGTTTAAAGAGGTAAGCATTTTTATTATATTTTAAATTTCAGACTTTTAATATATTGAATAACAAAATTCGTAATTTTTTAACAAAATTTTATTTTTGAGTATATTAAGCAATCACAAGATAAAAATCAATAATTCATTAATTAATTTACCGAAATTTATTAGTTTTTAAGAACCGTGCTTTTTAAAAAAAATTTTAAAAAAAATACATTCCTTATCGCCTTTGCATAGCCGATATGAAGTAGTACGATAGAAACTAGACAACTCACCACACCATAAAAAAAGAAAATGACTTAAAATAAATAATGATAATATTATCATTAAGGTAGAATGTTTCATCGCCTCTATATAGCTGAAACCAATAACTCAGTAAATATAAATGATAAACATATGCAGGCTTATGCTTATGAGGGTTGTATCACTATTAAAAAAAATAATGGCAATTTCCTAAATTAGCTTTAAATTAAAAGCTGATAATATGCACCAAAAAGGTAATTGGAATGGTTAACCAACCAAAATTCGTGATCTCATGCATTTATTTATGAAATCGGTGAAATACATTGTTGAATTAACTATTGTTTACAACAAAATTTCAAGATAAAAATTGTTAACAAGTAGCTTGGAAAGCATGGTTCACTACCATAAATTATGTTTTTACAAAAAAAAACTATACGTCCCATAAATATAACTTTTATCAGAAGTATGCAAAATTCAAAACTTTTTTTTTAGTTATACAAGATCGCATGATCGTTCTTTAATTCAAAGATTTTAATGAATTATGTGAAGATCCTTGTGTGAATATAAATTATATTGAATGAAAACAAAAAAAAAAAAAAAAGAAAGGACAATTACTGTCGTAATTCAAAAAAAACTGGCTGCACTAATTTTAAGTGAAGGAAAAAAAAAAAATGCCAGATTTACTGGTGTAATTCAAAAAAAACTAGTTGTACTACTTTTAAAGTGCAGTTCTTCACTTAATATTTTTGAAAAGAACAAATATAATAAAGAACCGATGCGTGATCTACGAATCAAGCATGCCAAATAGTTCTATATCAGCTGAATTCGTCCCTGGATGTTCGTAAAATTTAATGGAAGCAGAAGAGCCATCAATAAGAAGACCACTAGTCTCTTCAAAAGGATCGCTGGTTTGGACGGTTTGATCGACATAATCGGAGTCTGCTACACCTGTCACCCGCGAAGGTAAAACTTTTCCGTTTTCTTGATTACTTTTAATCTTCTTCATATGTTTGTCCTCTACGAAATATAAATCTTTTGGTTTATATAAAGATTTAGCATCATCTGCAAGTTTTTTATAAAAGGCTTTTGTTTCGACAGATTCTTCTTTCCAAGAAATACTTGTGATCGAGGATATTTTGGTTGTAGGTATTTTAATATTGTTACGATGATACTCTTCTTGAAATTCCATTCTATACACAAAATAAGCGTTTATTTTTGAGTAAGGTTTTTTGGATTTACGTAATTTTTCGAGGAGAATGTCTGTTGTTAAAGTGGGTGGGAATTTAGGTCTGATAACATTTTCAAGCATGATTACATTAAATTGTCTATAAATAAATACTATGCAAATTTGTTATAGATCGATTAAATTAAATTGAATAAAATGAGATATATTTTTTAGGAAAAAAAAGTTTATATTTATAATTAAAATCTCTAGGAGGTAATGGTTAAGTTTACAACTATAGTTGATTCCATTCTTGCAATTCTCATATATTCTTCAAACCTGCGGGAGCATCTTATATAACTTCCTGTTCCTCGACCGTAATACAAGTTGCAAAGATCAACAAAATATTACTGTCGACTAATATGACAATTGCTACTCTTTTTAGTTCAATAGATATATCATAATTTACAAAAAAACGAATTACACTACATTGTTACATGATCTATCTAAAATGGTAATCACAATTAGATGATGACAAACTGAAAAAAAAAAAAACAAGTCTAGTCTATTAATGTTAACATAATTTAAAACAAAACGCCTATAATAATCTTTCCTCAGCCTTCTAACAACGACAATGTACCAATAATCTCCCGAAAACTTAGATCCTCGTCAATGTTTCAAAACATTAGGATAAACAATAAATGTATACATGCTGTATCAATATCTTGCGTGCATAGAGCGCATTTCCTAAATGAAAAAAAGGAAATGACTATAACCTGTGTACCAACATAATGAAGAATATTTTTTAAATCTTAATTAATTTAATGGATTTTAATTGATGATTTATCTGGGTACCACCAGTTACAAGTCGGTAGTCTCCTTCGTTTTAAAATATAATTCTTTTTTTTTTTAAAAAAAAAAAAAAGTGAACAATTAGAGGTTTGATATACATGTACACTTGTGAAATCATGTCACACGCCAAAAAAGGTGATACATATATGATTAATTATAAAGTCCATTGTCCTTTCATCATTCATACAGTTATGTCACATGCATATGGAAGCTGTTGTAATTAATGGTATGTACACTCGAGTGTTTGCTGCCGGTTTCACAACTGACAATCTGAGCAACAAATTTGCCGTTGAATCTTAAAATTTGCTCTTGAAATACTTAGAAAAAAAAAAATTTACAAAGAAATCAAATATTCCAGTAATGAAGCAGATGAGTAAAAAGTGAAGGCACGTTTTATTTTATAATTTAGAAGATATTCATTAAAAAAAAAAGAAAATAAAAAATTATTGAAATTTCGTTAGTTTTACCTTTAAAATAAGAAATTCGACGTCATTTACACTAAAAATAGAGTAAATAACTTATATGGATTTGTTGATATGGTTCAAATTTGATGTTAAAAAAAAAATACCAAGGAGTATAATTATTGTGTTGGATAACATTTTGGACTATGATGAGAAATTACATTTAGGAATGCAATAATGCAATATAGATTAAATTGCAGTTTACGGGATTACCTGGAGTGGGGTGCCGCCGAATATATTATGCACTACAATTGCGATCATCTCGCAGCATTTTTTAATCAAAATAAGCTTCCTTCCATATTTAACAAATCAATTTTATTTTGATGTGGGATTTGCATTTTTGGTTAGATATATATACATCATAGACTGCGCTAACTGTCTCACGCTTATTTCCAAAATTTCCAAAATTTCCTTATTTGTCAAATATATTTTTTTTTTGATTGCAGAAATGGGTCTGCTTCAAGATTTATTTTGCGTCTAGATAATTAGATCATACGAGTTACTACTACGACTATATACGATAAAGGAGTTTTAAATTTATGTTAAGTTGGTTAGATTAAAGGGCATTTTTAAACCCAATACTGCCATTCTATACAATTATATATTGTGATATTGTTGCGCTCAGTTCTTTGTTAATATTTATAAACAAAGAAAAATGGGAGGTTTTAAACTAGGAAATTTTAATAAAATCAATTTATCGAGTATTATTACCTCAACGTCAGCCGCTCTACACTTCCGGAATGAGTTTGATTAAGAAACCACTAATACTGACAAAAGAAAACTTAAAAAAAAATAATAATAATAAAAAAATAAAGAAAAATAAATTTACGGTAAAGGAAATATAATCGTAAGGAGAAAAAGGAGAGGGAACAGAATATGTATTGGTATAAAAAATTTAAAGGAACGATCTGAACGATCTGAAACCCACGTATGACAATTTGGTCAGGATGCCAAAATCGATCAAGATCTAATTAAAAAATGACAAGGTTAATGTTTTCATACTAATTAGAGTTTTAGAATGCTTGCACCTTCCTTTCGAATTCATAATTTTTTCATCATAAACATGTTTCTCCATAGAGTAAATCACATCTTTACCTCTTTCGGAAAATTTATGATGGCATCATTCTGGTATGTACCAAGGTACAGTATATATATCCCAGTTTACATTTAATTTTGTAGTTTCGAAATAATATTTGTAAAAAAAAAAAAAAAAAAAAGTCTGAATAAATGATTGTGGCACATGTTCCGATCTCGCATGTTTTCTTTGGGTTGAAAGTTTTCACCTGATCGACATATAATCTTCCCTACAAATGAAAAAAATTAATCTTTTTACGAGAAATATCGGCTGAAACAATTTAAATATAAAGTGTATTTTGAATCGGGCTTAATTTTTAAAACTGGTCTTAATCGACTTAAGTAACGTGTATATATTAGGAAAATTTGCAGTTTGTGTCTGTTGAGAGGATTACCGGTGTGCCACTCAAATTATTATTCATTCTCCTCCAATTATATCTTTTCTTGATAGAAATTATTTGACAAGTTTATCATTTCATTTCGCTTTAAGGCATTTATTGTAATTGAAGACATAGTTGATGCTTTAACAAATAAACTTTTGATACATTTGATATTGATGTTATTTGTCGTCGGAGCAAATAGATTTATAATTGATTCTCTAAAAGTTTCTATTAATTCGAATTTCATTTTATTTTTAACACTAGTTTCGTGAATTATAAATTTTTAACGAGGGAACGGAAATTAGATTTTAAATTTAGATTTCGTAATTACTAAACTAATATTTGTTTACCTTCACTAGGAATAAATTTTTTTTTTTTTTTGTGATTACTGAGGGAACCTTATCAAAATTCACGAGTAAACAATCCGTAAATAAAAATTCTACAGTAATAAATTGAGATCACATAATGAGTTAATTCGTTATTATATGAATATTATTTCGAACGGTTACAAGTAGTTTAGTCTCTTTACCTCTAGAGTAATCATTAGGTGGGCAATGAAATCATGCAATTCTTTGTGATGATAAATATTCAAAGGAAGATAAATCTGATAATAATAATTCATCATCACCTTTTGCTAAAATGATCGCTTCATTAAATTTATATGTTTCTTAAAATGAAAATCAAAATTTGCTTCATCTTGATATTTTTCATGAATGAAATTATTAAATTTAAGATATAAAAGATGGTTACAACGTAATTCAGGCGTATAATAAGGTTCGATAAATTTACGGGTATAATTAATCGCCGGCAATTTATGGTTTGGGGTGTAGCTAAAGATCCCCTGTAAAATCCATGGATCCGAATTTCATATCCCCATTTAATTCGATCTCTCAATACATTTACAGTACTATCAACTTTGACAGGACTGGTATATATATATAACTTTAAGTTTAACTAGCCTTTTATATTATTTAAGAACCAAAAAAATATAAGTATAAATATTTAGCATTTTTTACTTTTCCTTACTAACCTTTTTTTTTTAAAAAAAAAAAAATTAGACAAAAAAAAAACTACAAAAAATATCTTATTCTTATTTTTTTTTAAAAAAAACGACTTTAAATTATAATCTCCCTTTATTGACAAGCGAAAATCTTATAATTATGCCTAAAACATTAAAACAAAAAAAAGTTATCCGCGCAAAACCTTTTACTATTAGCATTTATAACGCAAATATTCGTGACAATAGTTCCAAGTTGAAAAGTGTAACTAATATTAGTGAACTTGGCAATAATAATGTCTCCACAGTTACCAAACCAACTTTCCCTCCCGCATTAACGACAATCGATCTTATAAGCACGATTAAATGTACGTCCAACAGCAGTAAAGCAAAAACATTCCCAAATGCTTTTATCGCGTATCGAATAGCATTTATTAAAGAGTATCGTAATAAGGACATTAAATTACCACCTATGTGCAAACTATCTAGTATTGCAAAAAGTTCTTGGAATGAAGAACCACAAAACGTAAAAGATTTTTACATTAAGCTATCTGAAGACGCCAAATCTTTGTATAAGAAGAAGTCTGTTCAGTTCATGTTTGACAAACATATGAATATAGTTGAAAATAATCAAGAAAGCCAAGAACAAGAACAAGTTTCACATTCGCAGAAAACGAGTGTAAGTTGCGAAGATGACTCTGACTACGTCAATAATAATCAATGCGCTGAGCGCTCTCACGTTAAGGACGTACAAGCTTCATCAAGTGAGGAACTTTCGATTGAGGAGGTTTCTCATAATTATAGATTTTTCGAAGATCCGTATGGTACGAATTCAGCAGATCGAGAATTGTTTTATTTACTTGATTATCACTTCACAAATGAATAAGAACAGAAAAAACGTAATAATCGATGTGAAGATAATAAAATAATTCGGTACAATAAATTCGACAGTGCATTAAACTATAAAACACGGTTGCGGAATATGATATTAAGAAAGTTAGGATGAAAATGACAAGGAAATCAACAGAGAAATGAAAATTACAATAAAACATTAAATCGTGATTCAGCCATTAATATAAGCACTAAAATAAAAAACTCAAATAAATAAAATAAATAGTATACCGTTGCATTACATGAACCTTAAATCAGTTTTTAGAAACGAATTAATTTGCTTTTTATGTTATTAACATAAAAAACTAAATAAGCATAATAATAAACTAAAATCTTTCATTTAAATTAATCGAGTAATTGTAAGAAACTAGTATCACGAGAGTTATTTATATAGAGTATTTTTAGAAAGAAATTGCTATTTAAACAAAATAATATTCCCAAATTAAATGATTCTGTAATAATGCATATTCTAAAACCCTTGATCCTTTTTTTTTTTTAAAAAAAAAAAACTGTAAATAAACATGTATTTTAAAAGTCATTAAATCTTGTGTTATGACGATCAAAAACATTATTTAACTTTTTACATTGGATACAAAGTAAACAATATGAGTCGTAGATTTCCAACTAGGGAATATATTGTTAGTATTCGCCGCCAAAAATCCCATAAATGGCTTATAAAATAATTCTTTATTGATAAATTGATCCAGGTAATAATTTCTTATTAAAGGGACATTTATCATGTCCCTGAATATTATATACGAATATTGCCTATACTGTCCAAAAATCGAAAGTGCATAAATTCTCTTTCAGATTTAACCCATTTTAGTGTCGTGTATTTAAATTTATTTATAACTGACCTAAATCTGTAGCATAAATATGCACGGTTAAATATGTGTTTATTCCGTACTGCGTTCTTCACGTGTTAAGTCGTTTGAAATTACAGGGACTAATATGAGGACCCCAGGTCTATTTTAAGGCGATCGGAATTAAGAAATTATAATTACGCGCAGTTTTTATAAGAAGCATCTTATTAGGAAACAATTTGACTTTTATATTTATGCACAGGAAATCCTCTTCGGCCGCAAACTTATTCTCTAAGAAAAAAAAGCCTAATAAAGCAAGCATTTAAAGATTTATCCGTCTACTAATCACAATAAAGCAATTTTGTGACAAATAGATCCTATTTTTCTTTGATAAATGAATCAAAAAGAGAAGTTAACTTGTTCTTTATAAAGGTGTACGATAAACACCCTCATGTGTGGAGGTCTGCCGTATTGCATTGAAAGCTTTATTTTTTTAATTTTTTTTTTTTTTGTACGAATGACGAAATTCTATTCTTAGGTTATCTAACAATAGGATTTAGTTAAGAATCTTCCATGGTTTCACTATTCTATTTATATCACAAAATAAAAATCGGATGAGTTGATAGATTAAATTCCAAGGTCTTATCACTTTCTATTGTTTATAAGAAACTTTTAATAACTTAATTTATTTGCATTAATGACGAAATGATTGACAGAATTTATTTGCAATGATTGACGACAATAGTTACGAATTTGTGCATATAATAAACAAGTTTCTTAAATTGCTTAAATAAATTTATAAACGCGTAAATTAGTACCATAAATGTTTGATGATTCACAGATCCTGTTATTTTAAGAATATCTGTCAACAAACTATTTCATTGTTCGATATCTTCTTTCAAGATCATTTATAGAAATATGGCATTATATCTAGTAATAGAATTTTAAAAATAAAATAAACAATTTATGAGATTTGTTTATTCTTTGCGTGCCCAATGGCAAATGATTTTTTAAGGGAAAAAAAAAAAGTCGAATATGAAAATAACTTTGATAATAAATCATTTATATTACATATTCTCTGCATCAAATAGCGTTGCATTAAATGCAATTAAAGAAGAAATAATGTCATAATTTGAAATGTGGTCACAAGTTCGCGGGAAACCTTCCTTTTTTTCTAGGTGTCTTTGTTTTAAGAGGATTTCTATTGTACATGGGGTATTTGAAATACTATGAAAAACAAAATTTGTTGTTTCCAGAAGGTTATAAATGGGTTTGAATTTAGGTCTAAATTTTTAGAATAAGTATTGTAAACGAGTGGAATGGGCACCGTTAAAGCGTCCGAAGCGTTTTACGGTTAGATTGGCAACGATCAGTAATGATTGACGGTAACTCATGACAGGCATAGATCTCGATTAAATCTATATGAAAAGGTTTTGGAAAGTGATGATAAAATATTTTTCTGTTACCTCACGCATATATAACAATCATTATACTTTAAGTTTTTGTTTAGTTTTTGTGCTATTGTCAAGGTATTATGAAGGAAATTAGTTAGCTCAATCAGAAGATCTCCGTTTACTTTTAGGATGCCAAGTGGGCCTAAACAATTTTAGAAATTTCTAATTATAGAATGATCCATAATAAGAAGTTGCTATGAACAAATGTTATTAATAGTAAAAAGAAAATGGTTGGATTTCATGGGACCTCCGAGTTTGGAATCGGTAAATTTCAAAAATAAGGTTCTCACGTGTGAGATTATTATTTATTTTAATGAATTAATTATTCATTAACAATTTAACATAAGATCGTAAAATAGCAAGCCAGTAAAAAAAAAATATATTTTCAAGATTAGCAACTTTGATAGGAAGATATTGCAAAGAATATTTATTTGATGTCATCGCGATAAAAGCGTTTTTGGCGGTGATTTTGTTACACGTGTTGGATTCAATAATATTTTGGCAAAAATTTTTATCTAGAACCGGTTAATTTCTAACCGGTTAATTAACCGGTTAAAATGGCTAAAAAAAAATCTCGGCCAGAATTAAGATTTTATGATTGCAATAGTATTTGCTAACTCTGGCCAAACTTATTAGTACTGGCCTAAGTTGATTTTAACCGGATAATTAACCGGTTAACGAATATCTTAATAACCGGTCAGATTTTTAGGCCGTTAAAACCAGTTTTGATATCAGTCTGGCGTTGGTGGTTTTTTTTTTATTTTTTTTTTTTTTTGTGCTAGGTTTATTTTATTAAATATTATTGGTAAAGTGAGTTTGGATAGATTTATAGAGAAATGCGAACATTAGAATCTCTAGGAATATATTGTATAATCAATTTTATTTATTTATTTATTTATTATTTGTTTACAAACCTTCCGATCCGAAAACAATACCAAAGAAACGTACATCTAAAATACAATAATTAGTGATTTGTAAGGGTCGGGTCGGGTCGGATTTGAAGCATATATTCGAACTCGAAGAATAATATAATGCCCGTAAATAAAAAAATTTTTTTTTTTTTTTTTGAGCATTATTATATTTTTTTTTTACATCTTTTCCCACTAGGGTTTCAAACACTCCGCCAGAAAAAAATTCGTTCTAATGGAGCACTTGTTGCTTTATTAAAAAATGTATTAGTTAATGTTTAATAATAATAATAATTTTTTTTTTTTTACCTGATCTGATAATCTCTAACCATTATGATTAAATGTGGATATTCGGTTTCATGTAACTATATAATTTAATTGAATTAATACATAAATAAATTGTTTATTCCATCAAGAAAGAATATCTAGATTTTGTGTTGTTCGAGGAGCATTTAAATATAATTTCATCTCATTTGGTTAAGATTTATTTTTTTATTTTTTACAAAAATGTAGCTGGTGTTTCTTCAGCGAATAAAGCTTTGTTTCCATTTTTTTTCTCTTCATGATAACCAAGCTTTAACCGTGGATCAAATACTATATATTATTCAGAAGTAAATAAGATTCCGACAAACTTAATACAGGAGATGCTGAGTTTGATCCATTACTTCAAACGATATATAATTCATTCTAATTTTTAATATTATTTGAAAACGTTTAACGTAGAGCGAAACAAAAATCAGATAATCACATCATCCGGGTCACTTTAATTCAAGTCGGGGTCATCATTTTTTCATGATACGAGTCCTAATTTAATAAAACCCGTCGGATCAGGGTCATGGTTTTGCTCGACATGGGTCAATTCGATCGGCTCGGAACACTAGCAATTTTCAGAATTCACAGACCGCAACCATCTTTTTTTTTTTTTAAAAAAAAAAAATAATTTATCGATGAATAAAAACCATGATATTAATAACGAAGGCTTTTATAATAATACGCAAAACAAAATAAAATTCTTGCATAATTACATCTTGTTCCTACAAATAAAATTTCTAGAGATATGCTATTTCTTTATTTTATTTTTTTTTAAAAAATAAAAAAGTTTGGATTGATTTTACAATTTTACAAGAATAAAGAACGAATAAAAAACTATCAAGTACAATCGAATAAAGGATATAAACCTGTTACCGGCTTGAAAATGAAAGTCAATAAAGCGCAGTAAAGAAAACACAATAATATTATACGTAAATGAAAACATGAATTACTCATTATTTTTTTCTAATTTACGAGAAGAGCAAACTAATAACTCGGCAACTATAAATCAATTATAATGAAACTTGGAAGAAGACAAGACAAAGTTGACCACAAAAAGAAAATTGTTTCTTCTTTGAACAAAAATTGCCGTGTCTGGCTTATGAAGGAGATATACTCAAGAGTGGAAAAAAAAAAAATAAATAAATATAAACAGTAATATAGCGGGGCACTTCTTAATTTGGTTTAAAATTAAAAAAGTTGTCAATAAGCACCAAATAGGAAATTTAAATGGGAACCATTATGGTGGTCACGTGCTTTATGTGATTAATTGGTTGAAATTTATTTTTCTTTCAATGTCATATATGTATGCAAAGTTACAAAGTTACATAACGTGTATAACGTGTTAATTTTGAAATGATGATGTTTTATTCAAAAAATAAATAAATAAATAAAAAACTAAAAAAAAAAAATATAATAATAAAAAATGATAAAAAAAAAAAAAAAAAAAAAAAAATACAAAAAAAAAAATCGTTTAATTATAAAAAATTAAATAAAAAAAAAATCCGGAATTAAAAGAACAATAAATATAAAAAATAAAGCCAAATATACTAGCGATACATTTGGAGTGAATTTCATGATCTATGAATCAAGCAATTCGAATAGCTCTTTGTCAGCTAAACTCTTCCCTGAATGTTCGTAAAATTTAGGTGAAGAAGGAGCGACTTCAATAAGTTCACTAAACGAATGCCGATCCTCAAAAGGAGCGGTGGTTTGATCGGTTTGATTGACATCATAACCAGATTCTACACCTGTCGCCCGCGACGGTGAAACATTTATGCTTCTTTGATTATAATTAATTTCCTTCATATGCTTATCCATAACGAAAAAAGTATTTGGTGTATACAAAGATTTAATATCATTTGCTAGTTTTACATAATAGTCTTTTGTTTCTGTTGATTCTTCTTTCCAAAAGTTACTTGCGATCATGGATAATTCGTTCATAGGAGGTAATTGAATGTTTTTACGAAGATACTCTTCACGTAATTCCATTCTATACAATATAAAAGCGTTTGGTGATCTTCCTTTTGGTTTTTTGGATTTACGTAATTTTTCGAGGTGAACGTCTTTTGTTAAAGAAGGTGGGAATGATGGTTTGATAACATTTTTTAAAGGAGTTTTAAACATGATTACAGTAAATTTTCTATGAAAGAAACTAAAATGTAAATATGATATAAATCAAAGTAATTAAAATGAGAAATATATTTTTTAAGAAAAAAAAATATTTTCTTTATTTATAATAAAAATTGATTCCCAATTAATTTTTCGAATCTGGTAAAAGATGATTTAGTTTCCAATTACAAAGCACACAATGTCACACGTTGTCAACCTTATGGGTCACGAGAATGGTAACACATTTTATCATTTTCGTTTTCAACTAATTTTAATACTAGGGAACCCAAAAAATAAAGTAACACTGATTTTTATATTATCACATGATCATGCAATATTGATTGTTACACCTGATCACGAAATTTGATTGGCATTTTCACATAGTGACAGACAGACATTGCATGGTCTTGAGTGTACATAATATTCCTCCGCTACGCTTCGGACAATTACTATCGACTGATTAAATATGAATCCTTTTATTAGTTATTGTAACTTTCCTTCCTTCGCTTTAAACAGCTCAATCGTTATTATCTTCATCCTCGTCAGTTTATATTTATTCAATACATCATAATTGCAGAAAAAACTTTATTTTTTTTTATTTTTATTTTTTTTAATTTTTTAATCCAGATAAAATTTTCGTGTTACATTAACAATTGACATAACGTATTTAAAACATATCCATAATAGTTTTGTTATTTTTGTATGAAACTTGAAACTTGAGTATTCTCCTGAAATGTTAAATATAACATCAACTCAAAATAGTAAAATATATGCGTTCACAGACTGTACAATAAACACAAACAATGTTATTTTTTTTTTTTAAAAAAAAAAAGATGATTAATTACATACAATAAAGGAATTTTATTTATTTTTGGCAAGTCAAATTTAACGAATGCATTGATTTTCTGTTTTAAAATTCTCAGATTATCATCATAATCTTGCACAAAAAAAAAAAAAAAAAAAAAATTTTCTTTTGTTTATTAACGTTAATAAACATTTAATAAATTTTCCTGACCCCCTTCCTAAATAGTAGGTGTTTAAAACACAACATTAGGATAAATCATATCTAATGTTGTATTAACCATGGGCTTGCATGCATATGACGCACTTCCCTAAATACCATGTAAAAAAAATTTTAGGTCGTGCCAAGGCACATTCTGCAATTCGTCTGTAAAGGAATCGACTATAACCTATAATCGTAGTATGTAATAGGTCAACATTTTGAAATATAAAGAGAAATAATCTATTGAAGGATAATTTATTTATCACACAAATCTATTTATCGATTTAATTAATGTTTGATGATATATCGGGTACCAGGTCAGATGTTATTTTGTTAGTTCTCCTTCGTTTTAAAAAATATTTTTTTTTTTTTTTTTTTTTTTTTTTTTAAACAAATAAATTGTCTCATTCGGAGTTTATATTTCAATTCCTAACAAGTGAGTCGTATGTTTGCCACATGCATATTGTTACCGGTTCCACAACTTATGGTCATAGCATCAAATTAAAAAAAAAATTTGCCGCCGTAAATTATGAATCTCGAATTTTGGAATATTCGGAAAATACAAAAGAAATCAATAATTTCATTAATTAAACAGTTGAATAAAAGCGAAGGTACATTTTATTTAATAATTTAGAAGATATGCTTCAAAAGAAAGGAAGAACGAACCAAATATTCTGACATTTCTTTATTTTCGTTAGCTTTGCATTTCAAGCAAAGAAACGATACGTCATTAACCAAAAATAAAGGACATACAACTGATATTACTTTGTTGATGTGGTTCAAAATTTTGATCTAGTAAAAAATATCAAGGAGTACTTGTATTGGCTAAAAGCAACAAACAACTCTTGGATCATGACAAGAAATTTTTAAGTAAACATTCGGAATGTAATATAGATTTACGGGAAGAAATTGATCACCCTGTGTAGGAAAAAAAAAGGTGCCGCCGAATATACTATGCAAAAAAATTCTACGATTGAGATCAACCTCGCAGCATTCTTCAATCAAATAAGCAAATAAGCTTACTCCCTTCCATCTGTAACAAAACAACTTTTGTTTGTTATTTTATTTTAATGTGGGGTATACATAATTTCAACCATCTCCATTTAACATTTTATGATAAACATAGGATGCATCAACTGTCTCACGCGTCTGTTTCAAGTATCTTTTTTTTTTTTGCGTTCTATATAATTTGACGATACGAGTTAACGTTAATACTATACGATATTTGTCATTTTATATGAGATTAAAGCGATTGTAAATTTATGTTAGGTTTGTTAGATTAGAAAGCGTCTTTAATGAGAGGGGAGATTTATTCATTTATTTTATTTGAAAAAGGTAGGATTTTGTTTTAATATTTTCATTTCGAGTCTGTTACTTTATCTTCCTATCTGAAAAGAAAAACATCACAAAAAAAGAAATTGGAAATTTAAATTTTTAAGATGTAAACCACTAACGAATTTTATTTTATTATTTTATTTTTTTTTAATTAAATTAGACCTTTTAAATAGAAGGGTGAGAAATAAATCTAACAGGTGGTTCTTAAAATCAAATGAATAAATATTTAAGCGGGGAATTTCAAAATTCACAGAATCATATCCACTCATTTACACGTGATAATATGAGACCTTACAAAATGGGAAAAAATAAAATCATATTTGGCATATAAAAGTTAATATTTTTATTCCGGAGGAATCCTTTATCTATTTATCGTTGTATTAATCTAATCAATTCGTTATTAATAATTTATTAAGCTCAAGATTATAATGATACTATTTTTATTTTTTTTTTTTTAAAAAAAAAAGTAATAATGTAACAAGCCAAGCAAGAAAAATACGCGCGAATCGTAAAAGCTTTAACAAAAAAAAACAAAATGAATTTGATTGCGTCATCAATATGCAGTTTCATTGACTGTGTTGAAACTAAGATCGAATGTCGTGAAAACTCAATTGTAACTGTTTAACAAATAGGAGGTTTGCCATTAAAATCGAGTTACGAACGAGCATAGTAAATAACGTGATTTTAATAACAAACCTCCCAAATACAGAAATTAATTCTGGCCGGCACTATAATAATAATGAGTAGATTTAATTTCCGGAATAAATTTGAATTTGACCTAAAATTAAGAAAATTTGCCGAATTTATATGCTAGAAATTTATGTATTAGCGTTAGTAAAACATAAATAATTACAATATTACCTTTTCAAAAAAAAAAAAAAAAATATTCACTATGCTCTGGTTGTTCCTTCAACTCATCTGAACCCAGGTATAATGTGCTTCTTACAGTACATTATAATTTCGGATGTCCTATTTTGTCTTCTTTTTAAAAGATTTTCCGAATTAATTTAATTAATTGAGGTGTTATTTCAAATTACATTGGATATCAAATAAAATATTCATTAATAATTTTATTTGCCGATGAACGAATTTTATTGTTACGTTCTTTATTTAAAATGTTGAATTTCTATAAAAATACTCAATCTCCCTCCGTCTTTTCATTCAGTCTGTTTGATAAAAAAAAAAAAAATAGAAATATGTTGTGCGTCGGACGTCAGATGTCGACTGGTACATTACCGATCATTATTATATTTCGACAACTGACGTAAATCGACCATAAAAAAAAAAAAAAAAAAAAATTTATAATTTATTTTAAAATTTGATTTTATTTATTTTTTTTTTTGCTACAGAAAATAAAAGAAAAAAAGATGTAATGATTATTTAAACTTTTAATCAAATATGGCAACGACACTTGGTTGTCCAGAATTTTTTAAGAAACCCGAAGAACTAGCAAAACGTACAGTTGATGCCGGACGTAAAAAGGATTCGACACGGTAATAGAAGTTTCTAATATTACATAGAGACGATTAAAATTTTCTAAGAAAAACATGAGCTATGATGATTGTTTATTTGAACAGATCGCTTAAAATAAATATTAAAAATCAAAGTATAGATTCAATTAATTTATTAAAAAAATTTGATTCTTTTAGAATATGGAGTTTCATTTTTTAATTTCATCAATTAAATTTTTAAAAATATTTAAAAGAATAATGCGAAAAAAAAAAAAATTTCTATTAAATCTAATTAAAAGGGGAAAGGAAATTATTTAAAAAAAAATTCCACCAAATTCGAGCTTTATTGTCAAATACGAAAACATTGGGGTATTAAATAAGTGGATCATAAGAACCTAAGGAAATCTAGTATCGCCAGACCTCTTAAGAGGAACTCTAACTACCTAGCTTCTGGCCCCAAATACACCCATCTATGATGGAAGGCACTGTCGCAACTAGGCTGACCAACCAAACATAAACGAATGTATTTAAGCATTTTCTTCTCGAGCGGGCCACCCATTAGCACTAACCAGAACTCTAGGTCAGATTTCCCTGATAAACGTTTTGTTTAAGTACACCAATAAGGGAATAGACAGACTGGGAGCCCATTGCCAGCAGATACGGCCCTGTATGTACTAGGTACCTTCACCACTTGCTATTTAAATCCCGATGTACATATAAGAACAATAAAACTCGAACTGAAAATGAAGGGAAGTAATAGGGACCGTAATAAAAAAAAATATATTAAATGAACTAAAGAAAATAAGGAATTATTTGTTAAATAATTGTTAAAATAAAGATTAAAAAGTAAAGCATAACGTAATGAATACTCACAATCGTCATGGTAAATTCTATTTGAAGAACGCCGCCATGTTGTTCTCGATTTCGTCACTGGTTTTTTGACCGCTATACATTATTTCAAAATAGAGAAGTCAAGTTTAGTTGAAGAGGATTATCGCGTGAAATTTTTTTTTTTTTTTTTTTTTTTTTGTAAAGATCATCACCTAAACCCAACTTCCACCAATAATACTCAACCATGTAGATTACAAAACATTTACATTAATAGCATCAAAACAAACCCCTTCAAAACGGCGAAAAGACGACTAACCGACAGGACTTCGCATAACAATAAAATTGTTTAACGTCACACAGAAAGGAGCGAAAGACGTAGAATATCATCACTGCATAATATACAATAAAAAAAGGAAATAAATTAAATAAAACTAAAATTATTGGATAAAGCTATTCATTTATAGTAACACTCCAAACCCTACTTCACAACGCAAAGAGACTACTAACCGGCAGGACTTCGCATAACAATAGCATTGTTTAACGTCACACAGTAAGGAGCGAGAGAACATCACTATATAACAGAAAAGAGGAAACCGCGTAAAAGAATATAAAAAATAACATAAACCAAAAGCCTTGGATAAAAAGTTACAAACATCCTAATATAAATATTTAGTAGATATTTTGCCGTAAAAAGGAAGGGAGAACTCCCTGCGTACAATTTTAAGAAAAAAAAATGGAAGGAAAGCGTAAAGAGTAAAGACAATATTAAATAAAATTTAAATAAAATAAAAAATTACAAGACTTCGATTTTTTTCTTGGAAATTTGACTTCTTGAAAGTTAGAACGGGTGTAAAACGCGATTGACCCGAGTATTTAAGTTTGATCAATGAAAGATTAATTACCTCATTATTTTTTTCACATTTCGCCCACCCTCTTTTCATGGGAAAAAAATGTTATATCTCACCCTCTTTTTTATGAGAAACCTCCTGATGTATTTATCCTTTTTAAATTTTTACACATGTCTAGATTTCAAAGTATCGAATCACAAAAAGTATTTATATTTGTTAGATTAATCTATAATAAAGCAACGATTATATTGTGATATGTAAATTACAAACACGTAACTTATCAATATCAAATAATTTAATAAACAAATGAGTTGGTAAAAAAAAAAAAAAAGAAAAAAAAAAAACCTGTTCATATTTATGAAAATGGATCGTTTCACAACATTATTTGCCAAGTGGTATCAAGTGGTAGTATTCTATACTGTATAAAAATATTCAATATATTATTACAGTATAATATAAATAAAAATGATCCAAGTTAAAAAAATCACATTATTAGCTAAATATATACATCATCATTTTTATTATTTCATTATTAATGTATTTTTATTGTCACACAAAATAAAATATCGAAGAGTAACAGGTGAAACATTTATTGAATTGACAAAGAACTCGTTGTTTGTCATATTTTATTAGTTATGCATGTCAATTTAATTTATTTATGTCATCTTTATTTTCGGGTATATATTTATCCGATAATACGATGATTTTCTCGGCAAGAATATTATTAATACTTTGCATTTCAATGCATTTTACCTTATTATTGGATTTTACGAAGTGAAAATCCTTTTTTACTCTTCCTCATTTTTAGGAAAAGTATTTTCATAAAATTGTAAGCAAACCATCTGTTACCGCGCGCTATTTGACGTCGGAGATAATGTTAAGGCCGATCGATACAGGTTGTGTCCTTTGGAAGGCTGATTAAATCGCAGTCATCCAGACGGTCTTTGATATAATTGACCATGGCCGTCAACGCAATATAAATTTTGTAGCTAAAATCTACTCGGGGAAGTGAGCGAGTGAATCTACTAAATAAGAAAGAATATTCTAGCAATCGAATTATAGTTCCGTAATAAGAAATAGTGTTGAGAAGATCGCTGTTGACGCTTATTGCGTGATGAAGGATTTTATCTACAACGTAGTGTGTAACGGAGTAAAGAAGTCAAATATTTTTAATGGTTCCTGTAAAGCAAGTGTGTAAAGGTGTACCATGTGTAGAAGAACGATATTGCAAGGATTATCACAGAATTTGCAACCTGGAAAGATTTCTTTAAATGAGGTATAACGTATTCTGAAGGAGGGTACGTGCTTCTAATTTTATATTTGTCATAATACTAATCTACTTAATGAATTAACTAAATTTACTATTTTATGTCAAAGAGACAAAGAAAGCGAAGGTCAGGAACTATATTAGCGTTCGACAAAAAGCATATGGTATAATTTATTCAGCGAACCAGTTTACCCAATGAGAAAGAAATCATCTCAACCTAACTGGATTGCAGACATCAAAAATTTTCAGACAGCATTGTCATAAAATCAATAGCCGGTAAAAGAGATGGAGGCAAGAAGCTTAGCAATTTAGGTTTAGTTAAAAAGGATGGCGCAAAAATAACGAAATTAAAAAAAAATATAGTGATGAATGGGAGTAGGCCGAGAAGCAAATATTGGTAGATGGGTATTGGAAGCTGGGAAACAAGAGATTATGAAAAAATCAAAAAACTTCGAAAGAAATTCGTTCGTTTGCAGGTAACGCTCTATTTTCATTTGCTTATTCTACCATCTTTGAAGATTTTCTTCATTTTTCCGTGATAAAATCTAATAAAGTGTATTTGTAGGATCCGTTGATAAAGCATTGCTGCGCTTGTTTTAAAATAAAGCCTTTTGCTAAATTAATAGCCGATTGATGAACGTTCAAGAAATGCATAGTTAGCCTCTACCACATCTTTAAAATAACTTTTCCATTGAAATAGCAAAACGACAATGGATGCTCAATCTAGATCATCAAATGAAGTTTTATTGCTTTCAAAGTTACTTGGTCAAGAATGTTGTAAGGTATGCTGGTTGATTTCTCATAAAATTTCTACCTCCGTAAGATTAAAAATTTCATTATAGGTTTAACTGTGCTGAATTATGCTTTTCTTCTTTTTTATTGTTTCAAAAAAACGTAAATGATTATTATTTTTTTTTTAATATGATGCACTAGATCAATATTACTCGGGTGAGTCTTGCAACAGCTGTTGATTTACAAGATAATTTAACACAAAAAATTATTGATTACAAATTTAACTAACTTACTTACCAATTTATCAAATATAGAATCAAAATTGCATTTGCACCTCTTTCTTATTTATAGCCATAATAATCCAGAAAATATTAATAAGAGTTATACAGATTACAAAATACATAGAATTAGTCTGTAAGAAAGTAAGTCAAAAGTCGTTTATTTGCTACTAGATTAATAAAGTATTTGATTTATTTATCTGTATAATTAATTTTTAAAAATTTTCATATAATGAAAACTTAAAGAATTTATTTAAGAATTTGCGCTTATTGTATATTAATATAATATAAAAGGATTTAGATACTTTGGTAAAATCATTAATTAAGAGAATAAAGGTTAATATTAAGTTAATTTTATTTAACTAAGTAAATGATAATAATAAAGGAATAAATAAATATAAAATAAAAGGATGAAGAAATAAAGAAAATGAATAAGAAAAAAAGGAATGAATAGAAAAAATTAATAATTTTATTAAAAAAAAAGATGAAAAGATATAGAAATAGAAAAATAAAAGTATAAAATAATAAAATTAAAAATTAAAGAAAGTAATAATAAGAAGTATAATAAAAAAGAAAAAAGCAAATTAAAATAATAAAATTAGAATAATTAAAAAAAATAAAATAAAAAAATAATATTTTAAATATAAATCTATTAAGCTTTTTAATACTTAAAATAATATAATATAAATTTTTCTACTTTAAACTTTTTTTTAATAAAAAATAATAAAAATAAATTTTCAATTTATAAAATTATCATTTAATAAATATATATATAATTTAATAAAAAAATTTAATTTATTAAAAAATAATATAAGTTTAATTTATTTAAATAAAAATATATAAATTTATAGTTAAAAAAAGGATGAAAATTTTTATAATAAATTAAAGAAAATTGCTAGAAAAAATATTAATTACTTTTATATATTAAATATGATTTTTAAATTAAATATGTTTAAATTTAATATTAATTATATAGGAGGGTTTCTAGGAAAATCAGGTACTGAGAAATTTTTCACTTAAATTAAGAGCTTAATACATTTTAATCTAATAATATCAAAAACTAAAATGCAATAAAAA